GAAAATGTTAAGGAAAAAAAAAAAAAATGTAACTTAAAATGTGTTTGCAATGGCATTTGTGAAGTAAAGAGTTTTTAAAGAGTGCCCAGTCTGCCACAAGATAAAGAAATCAGCATGCAGCAAAATTTCTTGTCGAGTTGATGGAATAAAGCCAATAATGATTAAACTAGCCACATCAACCAAATGCTAAATATAAAGGCAATTAAAATGACGTGGAAAGTGATAACATTAATTGGGGAAATGTTTTATGTTGATTTGAAATGTAACGTATTGATTCTGGATGGGAAATTTTGACTTTGTGTCTCAATGTTTGTATTACTCTTTGTACCCCTTAAAAACTACAAGCATCTTTACTGCTAGTAAAAAGCTTATTTTATCAATCAGAGAAGGATATTGTGAAAACTTTTTTTATTTTTATTTGTAGCAACAATATAGTTATCTAAAAAAAAAAGAATTGCAATCTTATTTTCAAATTGGTGTTTACCCATGCCAAAATCTGTGTTTTTTTAGTTTAAAATTAATTTATTTTTCATTTTTAAATTGTTTTTTTCGCATATTATTAATAAGAAAATAGTCAAACTTGTATTTTATTGTAGAAAGTATTTATATGGAGTCTCAAAACAAATAATATTATGCGTTAAAGCTCATACAGTGCTTGACAAGAACATAATTATGACTTTGTAGTTTTTAAGGTGTTTGTGTTTTTAAGGTGTACCTACCTGTACAAGAACCTTTCTGCCAAACTAAATTTGAACAACTAATTATTTATTAACGCGGTCCTTATTTATAGAACAAAATAGTTTTGCCAAATTTCGATTTGTCATTGAAATAGACTTTAACTTCTTTTAAAGGAAAATTAAAACAAGTTATCTTTTCAGCAGAAAGTATTTTTTCTTGATTTTAGTTCTTTTGTTTCATATATTTCATACAATTTATCGAGTATACTCATATTTTAAACGCACAGTTGTATATAGTTTATGTTAATTTATTTTTATTGGTTAATTTGATTTTATTGTTATTATATTTGATATTGTAAAGGGCTTCATGATAAGATCGTATGATCTTCTGGAAGTCCAGCCGATTATATTTGTAATTTGTAAGCTATTCTTTAATTGTAATTTCTTTTATTTAAAGCAAATAAATTTACAAAAAAAAAATAAAAAAATTGTAAATCGCGTTAACACCGAGTAGCAGCAAGTTCCGTATGAACTGTCACAAAAGCACCAACCCCTCCCCCTCGAATGAGTGATATAATTTATTGTAGTTTTTTCCCGTTTGCGTAAAAAAACCACGAACTTGTGGACCACTAGAATTTAACGTCACCGAAGAATTTTTTAATTATTTCATTCCAACGTGTGGTAATCAAAAATAGATAACGTAAACCGGCCGTGTGACGTAAAAGAGCGCGATAAAAGACATCAGTGAAGTTGTCCCTTCAATAACAAATACTTAAAATGTCTTAATAACAAATAATATTATAGTTTGAACTTAATCTTTTTTTGAGTTTAAAGAAAAATTCTCTTATCCTCTAAAGTTATTTTTTAGAAATTCTAAAAAAAAAAATTATTGATTTTTAAAATCAACTATCTTGTTTGCTTTACTGTGTTCTTATTAACTTTTAACAAGAAAAAAAGGTTCTAATCTACAAATCTTATACAAAAATTATAATAGAGACAAAATTTGGCAAGTAGTTTGGCATATAATACATTGTAGGTCTAAAAGAATTCAGTAAATGCCTTAAAAGCTTTAAATACCAGTATGGTGTTATCCAAATTTAAAAGGTTTATTAAAGATAAGTCATATTGGTATTTATAAGGTATTAAGTTAAAACTATTGCAAATGATAAATCAGAGTTTCCTTTACTTATAAAAAAGTAATATAAATATTATACTATACAACTTTATATAATATATATACTATTTAAATAATGTATTAAAAACTTGATTTGTTTACTAAAATTAATAATAATAGAATGTACCTAAAATTTTAACAATTTAAAGTAATATTTACCCAAAAATGTGCTAGTTTTAAATCCAGTTTGTTTAAAAAAACACCAATACTTTTTGCATCAAAGTTAATTTAATAGGAAGAATCAATGTAAAACTAAAATTTGTTTGCAAATGTGCACAAATAAAAATAGGCTTATCAAAGTATATATTTTTTATCTCAAAAGTTGCCCATGTGCTTTACTTAAATATAACATTGATTAAAAGTTGTTTGTTTGGTTTTTCAATAGACACTTTCAATATATATTTCTGGAAGAAAATTTTTGTTAAATATCGAAATTCATCAAACCTGTTCTTAAGAAATAATCCAAATTCTTTAGGCTCATTTTTTGATTTTATTATTTATTTTTTTATCTCTTTATACTAAGTATAACAAATATAAAACTATTTAAAAAACTTTTTTTTTCTAAAATTTTTCATTCATCCATATAAAAAATTGAGATTTAATATTTGATCATTCATTTCAAAATTAAAGTTTGTACTTTCATTCAGATCTAGCAATGAGAGGTGTTTGTTAATGCTATTTAAAATATCAGACTTTATTTATATAGGCTGAACACCCATAGGTAGAAAGCATAATTATTAAAAATAGGTATTTTTCATTTCTAAAAGCACTTTTCTTTACATTTAATTTTAAATTATGTTAAAAGTTTTTTTTCTAGTATTTTACTTATAACAATATTTTCTCAGGTTTTTTAGGTTGAACAATATGATAGCAAATAATGTAGATAAAACAAAAATGTTGTTTTAAAAATATTTCAAATTAAACAAAGTTTTATTTGAATAACAAAAAATTAAAAAAATTAGTTAAAAAATAGTTTTATCTTATTTTGAAATATATTTTTGTGTTAGGCATCACCTAATGTGTGATGTCACTAAAATAATAATAAGTAATATAATAAAAAACAATATATTTACCAGAAATATAGATGTTTTACATAAGAATGTTATAAGTTACAAAAAATATATATATACAGTCTACATTCTGGAAATTAGGATGAAATAATGAAGGAGATAAGAATAAAAATAAGGAATTGACAAAGTGAAGTGAGAATTCATAATGAGTTAATGTTGTTAAATTTTTTAATTAAATTTTAAAATTACTTAATTAGCTGATTTTTTTTTGTCAAAGAAATAATATTTTTTGGATCTATAAATAATTTATAAAGTCTATAACAGGCTGTCAAGTTGTCATTTTTTTTGTTTTTTTCTGGGTCTTTTTTATTAATTCATTTTTTTCATTTTTTTGTGAATTTTTGTCATTCTTTCTTTTTCTTTTTTTTTTTTGAATTTTTTCAATTAAATTTTTTTTAAGTATTTGGATTGAGTGAAGGTTTATTTTACTTTAAGTTCATTTTTTGTAATTTGAGTTATTTTTAGATAATTTAAATAAATTTTTCAATAAATATTCTAAAATATTTTGAATTTTTAAATTGTTTTATTACTCTTATTGGTTGATAAACTGAATTGAAAACTAAATTTTGAATAAAAATTTCAGTATTTGTAAGGTTACTTGTTTCTATTTTTAATTTTTAGTATATTATTCAATAAATGAGTTTTATTTAAGATTTATATTAAAAGATGGGTTTATATTATTCAATAGATGGGTTTATATTATTCAATAGATGGGTTTATATTAATCAATAGATGGAATTATATTATTCAATAGATGGGTTTGTATTATTCAATAGATGGGTTTATATTATTTAATAGATGGGTTTATATTATTCAATAGATGGATTTATATTAATTAATAGATAGGTCTAATCCATAATGGTTAAATGGAATGAGGGTTGGCTCGAAATGCTTGATAAAAATTTGGTTAAGATTAAACATTAGATAGGTATCATTTGTGAAAGATTTTTTGTGAATGGAATTCGGTAATATCTTTTAAATAAGCAGCTCATATCTCAAAAGACTGGTATTTAGATTCTGATACAAAAAATTAAAAAGAATCGACCATTACTGGGCTAAAGTTTTTAAAAGTGACAAGAAATATGAAAAAAAGCAAAGTATCTATATCTCAGTAAAGTTCTTAGGAGCTGTTTAACTATTCAGAATGGAAACACTAGTCCAGACCGAAGGTTTTCAGATATTAAAAATACATTGACTTCAGAGTTAGTAAAACTAAATGACAAAACATTAATGGCTCTGAGAATATCATAGGAATGCACAAGAAGTTGCAATGGAGCATATAATGTTGATGCTCTCTCTAAAGACTTAGTTCAAGCAGTGCAAAATGTTCACTGAATATATAAAAAATAAAAGCTGAGGAGGAAGAAGAAAAATAATAAATTATATTCATAAGCAAGAACTTATTGATAAAAAAAAAAGACAACACAAAAAAATGCTTGAAAAAGTTCAAATAAACAACTAGGTTTTTGTTGTTTTTTCAAAGATAATTTTTTTTTTGAAAATGAAAAAAATGCAGATCTAGAGTTTCAACTTGCTCAGAAAATGCTGGATGAAGCAACCAACTTTATGCAAAGTGTCATCAATAAAGAAGACATGGTAGGTATAAAAATTACCCATGAAATAGTGAGTAGTTCAAAAAAAAAAATCTTGAAAATGCTACAGCACATAAAAATGAACAAAAAAAGTTGAGAGTAAATATGGGTTTAAAAGCAAAAAGTGATATGGATAGTTTAATTAATCGTTTCAAAAAATCAAAGTAGTATTGTAAAAAATTTTTTTGTGAACTTCTTGTTTAATTAATTTGAATCTTGTTTGGTGTTGCAAGTGGCGTTTTTTCTGTTCTGTTAATTTATTTTATATCATTTTAGACATTTTTGATAACAGGGAAGGAGAGGTGTTAAACTTAGCTAAAAAAATGTTGATATAATAAGTGGCTATCCACTTATTATTAACATTATTAATTTGAGTATTTTTAAAAATACCTATTTAAATATTGATACTTGTCAATATTTAAAGTTTGAGAACAATTAAAAAAGTGTCAATTAAACTTATTTTTCTAAAATGTTCTATTTATCATACAATAGGAATAAATACAAAAAAAAAAAAAAAAAAAAGATATTAACATCATACAAGTATATATATATATTATATGTATAAATATAATGACTTCTTTAAATCAAAAGGTGGAATCTTCACTTGGTACACCCAGAAAACTGAAGTTTGAACAACTACGAGCAGACTATGAACTTTTTTTGCATACATATGAAAGTAAGTGTCAAGTATATTTTTTATACAACAATTTTAGAAATCTGATAAGTTATAATATTAAATAAATAGTTTGGTAAAAGAACAATTTGATGGAATAAAATGATAAAAAATATGTTAAATAGATTGATATAGTAAAAATCTGTTTTGCTATGAAAAATTGGAATTGTGTATATATGTATGTATGTATGTATGTATGTATGTATGTATGTATGTATGTATGTATGTATGTATGTATGTATGTATGTATGTATGTATGTATGTATGTATGTATTTATGTATGCATGGGGCAGACCTAAAAGAAGGAAAACTCTGATTTTAACACCCTTTAATAATGTTTAATGATAGGTAAGGGTAGAAGTAACTTGTAAATCATGTTGTAGTAACATATTAAAATTTTTTGGTTGCTTATTTTTTTGTCATTATTTTATGTATTCATATCATTATTGTATGCACAGCGGCTTTATACATTATTTTATGTGCACATGTCAATTGTTTAAGTTCTCTATTACAACATCTTCTTTAGCTTCATAATCAAATTAGTTTAGTTAAAAAAAGGGTTTTTACAATGCAAGTTATTTTATGTGATTATAGTCACTCCAGCTTCTGTTACTAAAGTCATAACTCAATTAAATTCTTCTACAGCTTGTGGTCCAGACAATATTTTTGTCATAGTCTTACAAAATTGCTCTTCAAAACTCTCTTCAATTCTTTCTAAACTATTTAGTAAGTGCTTGACTAAGTCTTGTTTTCCTTCTTGCTGGAAAATGGCATCTGTTGTTCCAAGTTTCAAAAACTTCAGAGAACATTCTGACCCCTCCAATTATTGTCCAATCAGTCTTCTGTCTGTTATTAGCAAGGTCTTTGAGTCTTTGATCATCAAATTTCTCACATCCCATCTCGAGTCAAATGTTTCCTTGCTCTATAACTCTATTTTTTTATTCTTCTAGTAACTCCCAACTAAATAGTGGTTGCTTGCAGCCTTGTTGGGAACATAGTCATGATAACAGATAATCTGGCCAGTTGGCTGTTTTCACATTAGGATTTTGAATTTATGTTGAGAACTGTTTATTTATCATGCCCAGACTACTAATAAGTGCACAAAAATCTAAAGAATGTTGAAATAGCAGACAAACAGTTCATTGATCATTTCATATTAAATCTAGAGTCAGATCATTTTTTTCCATTGTCATTTCATATTAAACTCCATTGATCATTTCATATTAAATCTAGAGTCAGATCATTTTTTTTGATAACAATATTTCATATTGAATTCCATTGTCATTTCATATTAAACTCCATTGATCATTTCATATTAAATCTAGAGTCAGATCATTTTTTTTGATAACAATATTTCATATTGAATTCCATTGTCATTTCATATTAAACTCCATTGATCATTTCATATTAAATCTAGAGTCAGATCATTTTTTTTGATAACAATATTTCATATTGAATTCCATTGTCATTTCATATTAAACTCCATTGATCATTTCATATTAAATCTAGAGTCAGATCATTTTTTTTGATAACAATATTTCATATTGAATTCCATTGTCATTTCATATTAAACTCCATTGATCATTTCATATTAAATCTAGAGTCAGATCATTTTTTTTGATAACAATATTTCATATTGAATTCCATTGTCATTTCATATTAAACTCCATTGATCATTTCATATTAAATCTAGAGTCAGATCATTTTTTTTGATAACAATATTTTAATATGTTTCTAAATTTTTTACTGGAATTGAGAATGGAAATGTATTAATCAGTTTTAATTGCCAGCAGCGTGTTAAAAAATGTGAGTTAGAGAATAGGGCCAAGTGCCACATAACAACTCAACACTTAAATAGTGACTCTCTAACACAGCCAATAAATCCAACAACTAATGTTAAGCAAACCTGTTCTTTGGATGAGTTCAAAACTGTTATAAAAAGCATTAAAATTGTAAAATATGGTCTTTGTTACCTTCCATGTATCAGAGATAAACATTCACATTTCTCAGAAGATGGTGCAAAGCATTAATAAAAGATGTTATTGAAAATTTTAACGGTGACACAAAAGTTTTTAATCCAAAGTTTACTTTGTTTACAAACTGTTACCGATAAAGCCTTAACTCTTGTATGATATGATCCTTGCTAATCATATTTTGGCTCACTTAACTAAAACTGCATCCTCAGTTTTAGTTTTTGACAATGCAATTCAGTTTACAGAAAAAGAAAAAACCTTAGTTAAATATTTGGGAGGGTATGTATTTACTTTTTATTGAAGGATATCTTATTCAAAAAGTTGGCCTACTAGATTTGGTCAAGAAACAATCCTAATTTTGTTGGCTAGAAAAATTGTAGAAAATGAACTTGAAGAGTTTAACCATGAAACTAATAGAAAATTTATAAATTTAAAAAATTGAGGTGGGCTTTAGACTATATCATCTGATGCTTTCTCACTATTTAGAATAGCAGAAATAGTGTTGAGACACAAAATTTTTGAGTAAAAATATCGGCTGCAGCAAGATGACATACTTTAAGTGTTAAGATTTTATCTTACTTTTTAAAAATTTGTTATGCTAGTTCAATTAAGGTATCCACGGAAATGTTTCTCAATCTTCTAGACCACCTTATAACACTTTACTTTTGTGTTCGCTTATTTTTCTATTCAAAGAATCTCTTAACTCCACTGTATAAAGATTAGACATTCAATAAAGGTTATTTTCATAGCCGCAAATTTTATTAAAATCATATTCTAGTATACAAACTATATTGCAGCACAATGGAGAGATGCAATAAGTAATTAAGTGAAAACCAAACAAAGTTATGTAATTTTTATTTTAAATAATAATATCAAATAATGTAGTGAATCATTTTTACTTGGTTTTATCACTACTAGTGATTAAACCAAATATGTATATATAAACACACATTTTCAGGAGAGATCCTTCTCTACCAAAACCCTGTAAAAAGCAACAACCATTAAAATAAATTGTTTTTTGTTTGTTTGTTCACCTACATAAGGCCAAGAAGGCTACTACAGACAAGGAGGTAGCCTATTAATTGTGGTTATACCCCTCTCTCAACTCTATAACTCTGAAATACGGACTTTGGTAAATTTTTTGGTAAATGACTGGTTCAGGTTTATTACCAAGACTATTAGTTCCTACTATTGGTTTGAAGGTGCATTGATTCTTATTGTATTGTTATCATTCTACATAGCAATCAGAGTTAATTGTTTTGTTTTTTTAAATTGATAATTATGATGTACTTTTTTTTTTTGAGAATAATTGCATTAATATTCTTAAGTTTTTATTATAAATTTTTTATATAAAATCAAATTGTAAAAATATTATAATTATTTAAATGTGATATAATAATATATTTAGAACCAACATGGATCTATAGATTTATACAACGAAGACATCAATTATCGGTAAATATATATTATTTACTTTAAAATAAATTTTCTTAAAGTTAAAAATATTAAATGTAATTTAAAAACTTATTAAAAGTTATATGTTAGAGTTAATGGTAAGTTATTTTTTATACTTCTGGAGTTATGTTGTTGTGATTGTTGCTAGTTTAAAGAAATTGATAAAAGACATCAAAAACTATAACTTGTATTAGTCAGGAAGACATGAAGAGGACAGAGTAATCCTCTAGCATTGATGTTCAAGCGAAAATTATAAAACTTTTTTGAGATCTGATCTCTCTTCTGTAACAGCTTGAGGCTTGCAGCAGTTGGTAGATTTTAACTCCAACAAAACTCAGTTATTAACTGCAAACAACTGTATTATTGAAATTCCTATATAGATGAATAATAACCCTCTCACTTTCAGACAAGGTTCAAAAGCACATTATAAATGTAGTTAGACATGCTTTATCTACCGAGCTTGAGCCACTCTCCCATTGTTTTAAAGGTGCATCTCTTTCTTTTTTCTACAAATACTCTTATGGTCACTCCTCAAAAGATCTATTATCTCTAGTTTGGTCAACCAAAACTCATTATCATTTGGCTTGTCATTCAGCAAAGTTGCATCCTATTACTGTATTTGTGCCTTCATGCTATCCAAATTTTTGTTTATTTAGTTTTTTTCCTTGCTCATTAACAAACCTTCAAAACTCTCATCTAACTTCATGTTTTCCTGACTCATACAACCTACAACTTTTTAAGTCTTCAGTTAACTGTTTGCTTGCCCTTTGTTTTCTAGTAACTCATAACTTCATAGTAATTGCTTGCAGCTTTGTTGGATATGAATTTATATATATATATATATATATATATATATATATATATATATATATATATATATATATATATATATATATATATATATATATATATATATATATAATTTAGAGAAATTATAATATATAAATATTTTGAAAAAAAAGTTGCAAATCATAACAAATTGTGCTCACAAACGATAATTTTTCTATTCTAAGCTGCTTGTATGCATTCTAAGAAATTGCTAATTTCTATCATTTATTGTGCCTAAAGGCACAAGAAACAATAGAACTTACCAGTTATTTATGAGCAAACCATTTCAAAGAAAAAGTATGGCCTAAACAAGATGATTTTAATATTGGACTGGGTGTTGCTAATCCTCCACTTGTTTCATTACAAAAGATTAGATTGCTACCTTTACTCATAAATTTATTAAATAGTTTCTGAAATCACTTGGCAAAGATTAAAATGCAATAAGCATTTCAAAGACCAAATTCTCCAAATTTAGTTCTTTAAAAATAGCAGAAAGTATTTTCACAACTGAGGTAGCTGTTTCATAATCAGCACTTTAACAATCTGACACCAGTTCAAAAAGTAGCATGATTTTCTTTTCAAAATATTTGCAATGGTTTTCTTAGACATCGTAAAGCTGCAAATTTCGAATCTCTAATCGAAATATGATAAAGAACTATGCAAGTCTAGGCTGTTCTATGTCACTTAAACTTCACTTTGTCCTCATAATTTTTATCAGAAAAATGGTGTGGTATATTTGATGAACATGGTGAACCATTTTAATGAAAAATCTTTTAGGCAGAAAGTTGTTATAAAGAAAAACCTTCACCTTCCTTACTTGCAAACTGCTGCTGGACTTTAGTGTGTAGTTCAAAGTCGTCTCACAAAAAGTCCAGTGTGATGAAACATTTTCAATATTTTACAGATTAAACTATTTCACTAACTGACAGTATTACACATTATATATTCAATTCAACTAACTGACAGTATTACACATTATATATTCAATTCAACTAACTGACAGTATTACACATTATATATTCAATTCAAACAACAGTGTAAAAAAAAGCTTATTTATGTTAGTTTTATAAATATCATAACAAATAGTAACTGATTTTAATTAAAATATATTAATGTTATAAGCTAAAACAAATGCCAAATTTGAATGTTGAACCCAAAATTAACAAAGTACAAATGAATTTGTTTTGTTAAAAAAAAATTCATTAAATTTTGTTTAACAGTGTTAAACAAAATTAGTTTAATACATGAGAAACTCATAATGGCTCTTACTTAAACATTACTCTGGACTGACTATGACCATATGAAAGAAACTGTTTAATATTCCTTTGTTTTTATTTATTATTTGAGTGATAATTTTGTAAAACCTAATTTTATAAAAAAAATTTAAAGTTAAATTTAACATTTTTATATTTTTTAACAATTTTATAAAAACTTGTAAAAAAATATAAAAATATTCTTAAATTATGTTATATATATTGCACATCTATATATCAATATTTAATAAAATATTATATACAGTTTAGTAGTTAATTGTTCAATAAATGATAATATTAAATTAAATTAAAAATGTGTTTATAATAATAATAAAATAAAATGATAATGAATAAGTAGAGTTTACATTGCAACATACATTTCCTGTATTTTTACTTAGGGAAATCCTTGTTTTTCTTGCCATAGGTAACATTTTTAATAAAACATTTGTTTAGATTGGTGGCTTTTTTATATAATACAGTTTTGTTCAAATTTTTGAAAATTCTATTTAGCCTTTTATGCTACACAGAAATTTGTCTTATTTTAAAGATCGAAGAACAAAGAGACCACAGCTGCAGCAAGTTAAAAGGTTTTTTCTTTTTTAAAAATACTTAAAAATATATTAAAGTTTTTAAATTAAATAGTTAAATTAATTTTTTTTTTCCAATAATTTAGTACTATAATTTTCTGAAAAATCAGAAAACAAAAAAAAACCAAAGAATAATGAAAGAAAAGATTGCTGCCTAATCCCAAACCCTCAGTAGATGTAGTGGCACTCCTTTGCAGCAGCAGGCTTATGATAGTTGATGTATGTACTGAACCCCTCGCCGTCTGCTGGGGGCTTCAGTACATGCATCATCTCTCTCTCTCTTTCTCTCTCTCTCTCTCTCTCTCTCTCTATATATATATATATATATATATATATATATATATATATTTGTTATAATTGTTTAGGAAAAATTTTCAATTGGACCTGTTATTAAAAGACTTTAAATCAACTGAATTGAATGTTAAAAGTGAAAGTAATGAGGAGTAGGTGACAAATAAGTTTTACATTTTTTTGTAATAGTTTTTTATAAGGTTGTATTGTAAAACAAATTAGTTGTAATCAAGCTCATATTGAGTAAAGATAATGGTTACACCCTCAGACTCAACCATAAATAACTTTTCACTAACATTTATAAAGTTGTAAAATAGTAAATATAATATAAAACATTTAGAAAACATTTTGTTGTAATTAAATATTGAAAAAAATATTTTAACTGTATAGTTTCAAACCAATTTTTTTTCTTCTTGCAATTATGAAATCCAGATCAACCATGAGCAAAGCCTGTAGGCAATAGTATTTAAGAAAGTAAAGTAATTAATTTTTTTATTTGTAATATCAAATTTATGAGTAAATGTTATTATCACAGTTATCTTATTGTTCATTTATAAAATCTTTCTATTAACCTAATTTTTAATTTTTTTTTTTCAAAACCATTATTAAAATTAGTTTATTAACTCGATCAGAAAAAAAAAAAAAAAAAAGTTAGTAATTAAAAGTTAAGAATCTCAAATAAAAAAAAAAAAATACTAACAAGAAATTATAATGAAAAAAAAGAAGAAAAATATTTATGCTGTATAATAAAAGTCATTATTTCAAACTATGAGAACTTTAGTGACAAGCCTAGAAAAATGATATTGTGAAAAAAGCAAAAATTGAACCATGCATTAAAGTATGCTTGCATCTAAATATTCTGGTTATCTAAATATTTTGCGTAACTATTTATAATTTTTATTTTATGTGTTCAAATTTCACTCATTCCAAGTTTTTTTTGTTTCTACTTTAGAAATCATTATCTGAATATATCTTTTAATGGATTCTTTCATGGTCCAGGTAAAGTTATATATTGACAGCTTAATCCACAAACAACTCCACTTTTTTGTAAAATTAAATTTATTACAGTATTGGGTTTTCTTACTTCTAAGATATAATTGTAAAAAACGTTAACTTGTTTTATAAACATGAAAAAACAACAATAAAAATCCATGCAAGTATATATATGGGTATATATAATATTTTTATGTTGCACAGTTTGGTTTACTTGAGTTATCTTGTTTGAGTATTAAGCCATCATAAGATTAAATCTTGTGGAGCTTTTAGGGAGGAGGTAGCAATTTTGTTTCTTAACATTTTTATAGCTTTAAGACTACAAGATCCAAATAATAATAAATAATAAACTGTAAAGTCCTGTTTAAAGTCTGAAACAAGAATCTTGGGCTTATTTAATTTTACTTGGATTTTGTAAAAATGATGAATTATTATAAATATAGATTATTTCAGGTTTTGCTAAAGAAATATTTGAAACAAATGAACCAAAAGAACAAGAACTGTTTAAATGTAGATTATTTCAGGTTTTGCTGAAGAAATATTTGAAACAAATGAACCGAAAGAACAAGAACTGTTTAAAGACGACTTTGTCAAAGTAGAAATACACTTATGTCAAGTATACCATAAAAAGAAAAAGGTAAATAAAATTTTTTGAGTTGTGTAAATCTCCTATAACTTCTATGAGCTAATTTCCTATCTCATCATCATCATCATCATCATCATCATCATCATCATCATCATCATCATCATCATCATCATCATCATCATCATCATCATCATCATCATCATCGTCATCATCATCATCATTGTTATTATTTTTATTTATTCTAAAAAACTTTAAAATTAAAGTTTCCTCTAAAGTTATTAAATTTAATGTCAAAGTTGTACATAAGTTAACTTTGACAATACAAAACAAGGATCAGGTGTTGATTGAGAAAAGTGAATGTCAAGGTTGTACATAAGTAATATTTGACAATACATGATAATAATGATTGACAAAAGTGTCAAAGTTGTTATTAAAACTTTCATTTTAAATGTATAAAAATTATTAGGTTTTGGTTATTTTATGTGGTTTTATTTTGTTATGTGATGTTTTGGTTATATGGTTTTTATTTTGTCATGTGATGTTTTAGTTATGTGGTTTTTATTTTGTTATGTGCACTATGTTTTAGTTATGTGGTTAGCATGATTATTAGAGTGATTTACAGTAGTGGCCATTGAATTAAGGTACCTAGCAGAATTGCAGTTTTAATAAGCAAGTCCAGTTTCTCTTTCATGAAATCATATTATATGTACTATTACTATTATAAAATGTTCTAAAACATATCTAACAGCATTACTTTTAAAATTCATCAACAAAAAATTTCAAAATTTTAGTATTTTGTAGAGTAACCACGATTTTTCAATACAGTCTGTATACAAGAAGGCATACTTTTTACAAGCTTGTCACAGTACTCTGGGGTAATTTCATTTACTCACACCTGCTTCAATACATCTTTTAAATGTTCCTCTGACATTGGACAATGTGCTGACACTTAAGGTTTCATTAAGTTCCAACAATTTTCAATAACATTCAAATCAGGCGAATTTGAGGGCCAGTTATTCAAAAGTTGCACATCTTTGTCATGAAGCCACTTCTTGACTGATTTCGTAGTATGATACGGTGCTGAGTCTTGTTGAAAGATGGTAGTTTCAGAAATGTTCATATGTATCTTAACCTTTGACTCTAAAACCTGTAATACTTTGCAGCATTGACCTTTTCGCCCTTACCGAAGATGTGGATTCCACATCTACCCTCAGGATGGCGGATGTTTAACAGTCTTCAAAGTGTATTTAGGGTTGAGTCTTTCACCTACCAGTCAACAAATATAATTGTACCCTGAACCACGAAGCTGCTGGAAAGTACTTTTGTCAGTAAACATCACAGTAGTAGAATTTCACACTCCCATGCAATTTTATAACGTTTTGTACAGCGCATCTCGATATTTCTAGACTTTTACTAATGACAACTTGTGAGTACCCTTCACCATGCAAAGTTGTGACTTGACCTTTAACAAAATCACTCAAATCTGCCTTTTTACCCATATTTATTTTATTTAATTTATTTACTATTTACTTTAAAAAAAGAACTTTAATAAGCTTTGATGACGTCTTTTAAACAAAGATATGCAAAAAACTTTAATTTGATTCATTTAATGACTTTGCACATTTAAGAGGGACATTCAAAGTTATACTAAATTTATCCAAAAACTGTAAGGTGCCTTAATTCAATGGCCACTACTGTATATATATATATATATATATATATATATATATATATATATATATATATATATATATATATATATATATATATATATATATATATATATATATATATATATATATATATATATATATATATATATATATATATATATATATATATATATATATATATATCATATATATATATATATATATATATATATATATATATATATATATATATATATATATATATATATATATATATATATATATATATATATATATATATATATATATATATATATATATATATATATTTAAATTGAATTTCCACCTTTATCTAAAAGTCAACCATTTATGTTAATATAAATTTAAACCAAAAAAATTTGAGCCAAAAATGTAGGCTATTTTAAACACCTTCTATTTTGTCAAAGGGGATCTTATTACTAGTTCTGTACATTTTTTGAAAAGCAATCCACTAACTCAAATACCCTAAAAGTACAACCTATCAACTCTATTCAGATATAAATATAAAATAATCTTTAATTAGAATCAGCTTAGTTTCAAAAGATTTTGTTTTGTAGTTGAAAATTTTTTTTTGTTATTATTCAAAGTTTTAAAATTATCTTGATCCAGGTTTGTAAAGAATTTGGATGCTAAATCAAAAAATATATAATTTTTCTAATGGGACCTTAAAGTGGGGTTGTGGCCTTTAAAAGTACCTAATTTTATTAATTTTTTGAAAAAAGTGCGTATTAGTATGACTTTAGTTTTGACACGTAAATATTACTTGAAATATGAGTTTTACATTTTATTATTTATGATATTTTTTTGATTGAATTTTGTGAATTAGTTACATGAATAAAGATCACATGCCTAATTATTACCACTTGTTTTTAATTGATCTGCACATGAAGGTGCAAACAACAAATTTGTCTAGATAGTCATTCCATGCCAAGTGAACCAGGGTCCAGCATGGATCTCCTCAGATTTTGATGAAACTTAATGGGTTAGTTTATATCAATGAGAAAAGCAGTTCCTGAAAATTTCAGCCTAAAATTTTTTGTGGTTTATGAGATATCGCCATTTGAAATTTCTGATTTTTCCAAAAATTAAAACTTCACTGCAAAATCATGTTTTGTTCATACTTTAAAGCTCTGTATTTTAAAAACGAAATTTTAAAAAACCTTCTAATTTTTTTTATTATATACAACTGTACTTTTTTCTTGATTAATTTTATTAATTAGTTATTGAATATTTTACTTTAAGCAGTGTGTCATATAAAAGACATTTAGTTTGTAGAGTTAAATAGTAAATAGAACATATATAAAAGTAGCACATTAGCTAAATAATGAAAATAAAGTTCAAAATAAAAAATAACTTTTTATTTTATTCTTATTATCTGTCCAACACATTAGTTTTCATATCACTATTCTGACTATAAATTTTGTATAATTTTTCCCAAAGTATTCGCTATTCAGCCTTTCCCAATTTATTTGATTATCATTGTTTAAATTTAGTTTACAGATTATACCAAGTGATAAGAGTCATTTGATTTGTCATCACAATGCGCAAGTTTATTATTTAATTTATATTGTGTAATAAAAATATTATTGTTTAACAAAAAATCAATATATAAATTGAATCATTCAAATTTGCTTTAATAAAAAATTTGGATTGATCAAATTAATAACAATTTTGCTACGTTGTTATTATATATACTATTGTACAAATGCAGTATTTCAGTTTTTTCATGAGCTGATAGTTCATAACATCTACCAGTTGCTGATTGCAATTTTAAAGATGAAATTTTGCAAAGAACATGCGTAATTGGAACCCAGCAAATATCTTCTCTATGTGGCCAAACGAAAGTATTTGAGCAAATAGACTGCTTCATGAACTTTATAAGGATGCCTTGATTTTTTTCAGATATTTCCACAATATTACCTAAAAACCATTTTTCATCATAAACACATGCTATATAAATTCCTGGTGAAAGAGAGGCAAGTGGAATCGTATAGTTCTACTGCATTGTTGAAATATATACATTAGTAAACACATTGTCGAACGATACCCGTCTCATCTGTAAAGTTGTTATTGATTTTGGTATAAAACAATGATAGTTTCTTGTTTCTGGAATTGTTGAACAAGTAGCATAACATTCTTCTAATTTAAAATTTATGCAATGTAATGTAACTGCGTCATTTAAAATGTATTAAAAATGTATTCCTTTATTATTTTGTCTACACCAATCATACATTTTCTCAGATGATATGATCAGTTAGTGATTGTAAACTTGCCTTTGCTACAAGTCTTTTGACAGTGCCCCCAAAACCATCCCAAGCACTTTTTTAATGAGATGTAGCAAAAAAATGCCATTCTCATGATCTCATTCATGGTGACATAAGTTAGACATAAAGACATGGTGACATAAGTTAGACATAAAGACATGGTGACATAAGTTAGACATAAAGACATGGTGACATAAGTTAGATATGTTTTTATAATTTTTGTATTGTGAACTTGCACCATCACTGAAATAAATGCAATGGTTGAAGTAGGGTATCAACTCTTTTAAATGTTTTAATACTTCGTGAATAAAACAATGAACTGAGTTTGTATTGTGTTGCAAATGGTCTGAGATGATACAAATACTTTTACATTTTATCTTATTTTCTTCTGTAAAGTCAATAACAATAGGATGCAATATTGCTTGGCTGTTGTTCTAATGGAAACTTTGTACTGCATCTTAAATTAAAAAACTGTAATTTTCAGCAAAGTCTAGTAATATTAAAATATGATTACTTGGTAATGTGATTTTTAGATGCTGCAAACATGCTGTTTTATTTTTAGCTATATAGTGATGGTCTCTTAATTGATCTATTTGTTGACAAGCTTTTTCAATAAAATCATCCACTGGATGAGTTACTGGAACTATATCATGTTTTTTGTTAACTTTTTGCCACTGATTAAACGTGATTTTGTCAATTATATGTTTATCAAAAGTTTTAGTGAGATACTCTTTAAGTGTGTCAGTATCTGGGCAATTATCGCAACTGTCCAGCATGCTGTCTCGATTTGTTAAATCACATACAACTAATGTCAAAAGATTTTTATAGTCTGAAATATCTGGTATTTTTAAGGCTAAAAGTTTGGCACTCTGGTGGTACTCACAAATGCATACTGAGTGGAGACCTGAAGCACCTCCAACAGGAATACACCAATTTGGTCTAAGTTTGCAAAACTTAGGAAATCCGATCTTGACATCTAAGGAAATTTTAACAAACTCTAAATAAAGTTCTTTTATATTAAGTAATAGTATTCTTTTTTGAAAATCGACTTGGATTGCAACATACTATTTTTTCCCTGGACACATTCAAGAGTATT